AAAATAAAATAAAATAAAGCCAAAACTAAGATATTATTTAATCAGATTTCACAACTTCCTACAGGGTATTTGGTATTTACACACATTATTAGGACTAAGTGGGCATACCTGGTCACTTTTCTCCTCGCCATATCGACACCAATGAGCAAAGTGCTCGCAGTTATACCACAGAACGTTATAGCCAATCTTTCCCAATTTACTGAGTGCATTCTCAACTATTTTGCTTTTAGATAATGCAGTGCGACCGTTGCTGTCTTTGTTATTGATCTTCGCTTTGCAGTGGGAAACTATGTCCCAGAAATCGTCACACTTGACCTCTGCTTTGCTGAATTGCTTCCCCCACACAGAGAATAAATGTGTCGGGTTGCCAATGTCGTCTTTTATCCCGTCATTCTGTCCCGTCAAATGAACTACATTACCATCACCGATGAAGACTCCCCAGTGCGAGTACATTCCTCTCTCGAACTCCAGTAAGTCGCCTTCTTCGCAGTTATACAGAACGGTCTGGTTGTGAGCACGGAACTCCATGATATTGTCACCTTGAGAAAATCAGGCAATTTGACTGCAATCGGTCACGCAATGGTCCCCGTACCCGTACAGTAATTGACTGCAATCGGTCACGCAATGGTCCCCGTACCCGTAAAGACTGTTTTATTCGAGGAATTCATGACAACGATTCTATATTTAGGGCGCGTGGAAATTACTGTGCCTCACGTGATTTGCGGGATTTCCCCCGAAGCCCTGTGCTACGCCACCCGACACAGTGTGTTAACGGGACAACAGACATGTACACAAGGCTGGATTTCCCCATATCACGAAGTTTACGAGTAACTCGATTTACCAACAATGGTTTAGTCCCTTTGTATTACGATTTGAAACAGTTTTGTATGCTTCACGTGTTTTATTTATTTCGCTTTCGCCATTTATATATACACTTTGGCTGGTCCCCGCCTCTACGCGCAAGCCCAGCCGGGTCACGTGATCTGACGCACAGTTCAGCGAATATATACACTTCCATACAAATAAACAAGAAACTGTATAAAAATCCAGGGTTGTGACTGCGTTTCCTGGAATCTAGCTAAAATCGATTGAGTCCCATTTTGCGCTTTGTGTGAGATCTCGCAAGGGCGGTAGTCGTCATGCCGCGTCCTGTTCGATATGGGACTCATAGCGACGTATACAACCACGGTTTGACCGAACGCACGGTACAGTTGGAGGCGTGGCTGGTTCAGCATTTGTCAACAACCAATCATAAGACTGGTTACGAACCACATCGAGGTTAGCCTTGCTCAACTGGTTCATAACCACTCTTGTGATTGGTTCCAAGCCTCCAATTGTGCCAACCCTTAAGTATTCGCAAATAGAGTCAGTTTGTCTAGTTTTCTTGATTTATTCTGCAGATATTGGTAGAATATAGGTAAGGCTTTGGGGAAATTTGAAAGAGCAACCTGGTATTTTTTATAGATTTTATTTTTCATTCTGTTCGTCTGTTTTTTCCAGTTTAAAAAATATGAGCTGGCTGGAGCCTTCAAAATCGAGTTGTGTTGTGCGGTGGTTGTCGCGCTGCGCATGTGCGACATTTGTGTTGATAAACATAGGTTTTCCCACAATCCAATGCGCTCATCTAATCTAAAACAAGGTGATAAGCATGACACCAATAACTATAGGGGAATATCATTATGTAGCAGCATTGAAAAACTATTTAATTACATCATCAATAATAGACTAACCCAGTTTCTAGATGAGAACAACATCATTCACCCAAACCAAGGTGGTTTCAGAAAAACATCGTACAACTGATAAAAAAAAAAATATCAAGCACAGAAAAGGAAACTTTACTGCAGTCTTATTGACCTCAGGAAATGCTTCGATACTGTGTGGAACACTGGTCTAATGTATAAAATGCAAACCAACAATATCAATGGCAATGTCTACAATGTCATAAAACATATGCATCTGAACAAGAAATGTGCAGTCAAACTTGAAGATAAAGTAACCCCGACATTCAAGCTGGAAAAGGACATGATATAATTGAGAAAACAACAAACTTCACCTATCTGGGTGATAATTTTAATAGTAATGGGTCTATGGACTTAACAATGTCAACACTAGCAAAAAAAGCAAGGAGAACAGAAAGGGCACACGCACCTATCTATAATAGAAACAATATTACTATTAAAACAAAATTGTTTGAGACCACACAAATACCAATATTAACATATGGGGGAGTATGTACGAACAAAAACTGGGACAAGACAGAAACTGAAAAAGCCCATCTCAGATTCTGTAGGAACATTCTAAATGTGAATAACAGATCAAGCAATATTGTAGTAAGAATGATACTGGTAGACTACCATTGTTACACTTACTATACTATAAGGCAATAACTATGTACAAACATTTAATAATATTGACGAAAGACAACATAGCTTTCAATGCTATGAAGGAAATGGAAACAAACAAAGAAAATGATTACTGGCTAACAAGGCTCAACAAAATAGTGAATGAACATCAAATCCATATGGATATTACAAAACAAAACTTCAACAAAATGGCAGCAAAGTACTACATTAACAAATGGAACATAGACATGCAAAGAACAGAATCTAAACTGAGGACTTACTGTTTATTCAAAAACGACATTAAACAGGAATATTATTTACAACAGTTAACTGATAGGCAAACGGTTTAAACAATGAGCAAATTTAGAATTAGCTGCAATTAGCATTAGCAACTGTACATAGAAGTGGGTAGACACACAAAACCAAAAACAAAAAGGACAGGAAATGTGACAAATGTAATGTGATTGAGGATGAAATCTATTTCATCACTGAGTGTGATCTCTATACAGAAAATAGACAAGATTTATATAGTCTATTTCCCAATCCGAATTTCAAAAATTACAACAACAAAGATAAATTTATATACATTTTGAACACAACTAACAAACAATGTCTACACGGGTTATTAAATTACATACAGAAAGCCTACAAAATAAGAAAAGTAAAGGTGAAAATCAATTAATTGTATTGTTGTTCTATATTTTCAGTGTGATTTAGTTGTTGTTTATTTGAAATCTATTATTGTATTGTATGTTTATTTTAAAAAGCTTTAATACAGCAATTACCAAAACTGAAATGTCAGATTTCATTAAGGATGTAATAAGGCAATATTCTATTCTATATATTCTAATGGAAGTCACAAGTATGAGGTTCGAGCTGGGCGCGAGTTGCACTATTTACCGCCTATGATTCTATCAATACCTTCAGGATTTCAATCACCTAATAACATACTTAACGTCTCAATTTGTACTCGTTGATCTGCGCAAGAGTCAAAGTCACCGTCTTGGTTTGTATGAGACCCATATCTCGCGCATCTCGTTTTGACTGAGTCTTGCCGTATAATAGACTGGTCAGAAGGTACAGAGGGTGGTGTTTTTTGAAAGTCGCGTACATAAAAATATATGACCTTTGTCGACCCCCTTGAATGGTGCATAAACAATTGTGACCCTCTCTCTTCTAAGTGTGAGGATAGTACACGTATTAACAAGCAGTCTGTCGGTTGAGATAGCTCCGCTGTTAGCAAGGCACATTTCAATTAATTTAAAGGCCTGAAGATATCATTAAAAATGAACAATATGTATAGTATCAAAGCAATCAGACATGGTTTTCAACAAAAAGTCGAAAATATCACTTTTTTCCAAAAATTACAAAAATATTCACCAAAATTAGGAAATTTAAGATATCATCACAAAATGAATAAATCCAAGAGAGATCTACATGTAGTACCGATATATGTAATATCAAAGCAATCGGACTTGCCGTTTTTAACAAGAAGTCGAAAATATAACTTTTTACCAAAATTTACAAAAATATTCATCAAAATTAGAGAATTGAAGATATCATCACGAAATGAACAAATCTGAGAAAGGTCCACATGTAGTACCTATAAATATAATAGCAAAGCAATCAGATTTGTGATTTTTAACAAGAAGTCGAAAATATAACTTTTTACCAAAAAATAAAAAAAAATATTTATCAAACTTAGAGAATTAAAGATATCATCACGAAATGAACAAAACTGAGAGAGGTTCACATATAGTATCTATATATGTAATATTAAAGTAATCAAACTTGCGGTTTTTACAAGACGTCGAAAATATCATATTCATCAAAAATAGAGAATTTGAGATTTTGACATGTAATGAACAAATCTTAGAAAGAACCATCCAAGGTACTTGAATATCAAATTTGAAAACATTCTGACTTGCGGTTTCGTAGAAGAAGTTGAAATTGTAAAGTTGACGACGATGGACGACGATGGTCAATCAGTAATATGAACAGCTCGGCTGTGTCGACTTTGTATATATATATATATATATATGTATATATACATACTAATTGATGTTCTACTACACAGCTTAGAACTTTCCTACTTCAATCAGTTAGCCCAGCTCTCATTGAGGAGAGAACAATGTATGATACTGTCACAGTGTATGTACCACATTAGAGTGATACATACACAATTTTACTGGCACCTTTTTATGAGTGCTATGTGTTGAATCGTGTTCATTCTTTGTAAAACGAGATACACATTTTCAATGCTACCATTAATTTCAATACTCTATATTATTATAACATACTCTAAATATACACTTTTTTTTTATAACAACACTCAGATTCAGCCAACTTTACTGGTCTAATGAATTCTAGTTATATATCACGGGGAAAATCTTCTCTGGGTTCTCCACACGTGTCAGGGGGAAATCTCGTCTCGTCTCTCTATCGCGTCCCCTTGAGGTACGGGATCGGGAAAGTCACTTAAACTTTACAGTCAAATAGACGCACACAACAACATACGTTTAAACTCTGTCTTAGTCGGTCAGTCGAGCATTCTATAAGACACAGCGCCCTGGGGAAAAGTCCCCAAGACTATCGCAAGGCTGACTCAAGACTCTCTCAAAACTGCGTCAAGACTCGCCCCAAGATTCTCCAAGACTGGACTGCGTCTGTCCTCGTGTACTCGCCAAGACCAACTAAAACAACTTTATTCATTTTCAAAACCTTAACCAATTACAAAGCAGTTAAAAGACTCTAAGGCGTAACCTTCAATCATAAAGCCAATCACACTAAGTACTGAACACGTCAGATCTTTTGATTAATCGTTCACTACATTAATAACTACGGATACTAACTGTCAGAAATAGTAGTCCGAATAACGACGGTTATCTCGTAATTAGTTCCAAATCACTGAGTCGAGTTCCTTCCAGAACCTCAAATGGGCCGAAACGATGACAGACATAACACAGCCACTCACTCGTAATCAACTAATTAAGTTGATTAACAGATACACAACAACAAATTCATCACACATTTGCAAAAGTATCGAGAAGCTTTTTATCCAAAGCTTGTTGGAAGACTTGCCCACCACACAGTATAAATATGTTAATGAGAAGAAGAATCATATTCACCGGGAAGAATCTGGTCAACGACTGCCTGTAATATTGCTTTTTTACCATACTACTATACATTGTATCTCTGTACATGAGCCCAGACAAAGGAAATTCAGTTTTGATACAAAAAATGCATGAATAGCACACCTGTTT